TAATAGGTGTCAGTGAAGTTTGGGCAGTGGAGGCTCAATCAGCAGTTGGTATCATTAGGGAACAGGCCCTTACCATGGGCATCTAAGTTAGGGATCCACATAGTTCAATGAACAGCTGCAATTTGTTTCCACAGTTGTGTCCCTAAAGATGGGCATCTAATCTGTCAAGATTTCCATGTCTTCCAAACAGCTAGGCCATTGGCAACAGCCCAAGAGTTGGTAAAAATTTAACAAGATTCGTTGTGGAGAATGTCCAAACCTCTGAAACAGCCTTGGGTTCTGCCTTCTGAGCAGAGTGGCCGTATCCATTTCCAGTTTTGCATAGTTAGTGCTAAGGCTGAGCATCTGCAGAAGCCCAGTGAACAGAGGCTTCAGTTTAGCCAAACCATCAGTGAACCAGATTCCCCATTGATCTGGTGGCTTTCTTTGGGCAACAGAGTTGGGGAGCTATCACTTTTTCATGTAAAGCTAAGAGATGAACTCTTTTCTTGAATAGATTATGTTTGTTTGACAGGTGCTCCTGGGCACATCTTACCTTGCTAGTTAGCCTTGAAGTCCTAGTTGACATGCTCCCAAATGTCAGTATTAGGCTAGAGAGCCTCAAAGCCTCCATGGATCAGGCATCAGTTTCAGCAAGAGCCTAACAGCAAACCAGTCCTTTAAGGGAGTGCACCTTGTAGCCATGTCAGGGAATTGATGAGTCCATACCTTTTGACAAAGAATACCTCGAAGTGGAGGTCCTTTGCCAGAAGCGCTTATCAGCAAAAGCATCATAGTGAGACTTGTAGCTCAAAGGGAGAGAATGTGCCAAAACTTGATGGACAGTTTCCAGTGCAGCCTCTTTGTTGGAGCCCCACTTAAAAGTTGCCAATTTACAGATAAAAAGAAGAAAGTAGAATGCCAAAGTGAGACATATACTGTCTTCAGTACCCAAAAAATCCAATAAGGTGATGGGCCTCATTTTTGGTGGGGAGAGGGAGTTGCTGAAAAAACAGTAATTTTCTCTCATTGCTGGAGGGATTGAGTATTGTGAATCCACCTTCATAGTCCCAAGAAGCTTTTATTTATCAGGCTCCTGAATTTTGTTGGGTTTTATCAGCAACCCCTGCTGGTGATAACACTGTAGTCAGGGCCTTTGAGACAGATACCTGACTTGCCAGTCAACAGGACATCAGGAATATAGTGTAAATTTTAGACATCATAAATTTTAGACACTTGAGCTGTATCCTGACCCAGCTGTTGATGACAAATGTCTGAGGGTTTATTCCGGCAGCTCTTCTCTCCCTGTGGCTCTTCCTACTTGGGGTTATCCATCTGTGGATCCCGTAAGTACTGCGGGATGGAGAAGGAAAAGATTCCATACCAATTCCTGCTGCACTTTTCATATGACAAAGCAGCAACACTGTGTGGAACCAGCTCTGTTCACAGGGCATGACAGCCTCCCTTTCCCACTGTTAACCTTGCCCACACCCCGCCAGCTGAGTGCAAGTGACTCCTTTCCCCATGATGGGATGGGGAGTTGGGCACCTGAATCTTCACAGAGCCATGAAAGTTTGAGTCCCTCCTATTCCTGAGTTTCCCTCAGGATATTTCCCTCTTCACTATATACCCTTGGGAACAGGGAAACTTCAGCTCCACCCCTAATTATCTTTATTCAAGCAGGGGAAGTCAGGGTAGAGGGGAAAGGAAGGTAGAAGAGGAAGAGATGTAGATGGAGAAAGTGACGACACTGCCAGTGAGCAGGGCACACTTACTTTTGGTTGCAAGCAGCACAAAAGCTGCGCATAGCTCTACTGAACACTCCACTGAATTCAGCCCACTTACAGCCCTCTGTCAGACAAGGCCATCATTACTACACTGTCTGTTTTAGTTTTGGGGACCTCTTTGATTCAACAGCCTCACCCACACTGCTTTTCAGTTGGGGCCATGAGGTTTATGCCTTTTGGCTGACTCAGACTATAGCGGCAGCCTTTTAGAAAACAGTGTACCTTAATCCTGGACATTGGCTGCCCCTTGTCATGATAACATCTCTTATGCTTTTGCCTGGTTTAATATAAAGTTGGGGGGGTGCCATTCAGCAGGCCTGACCACAAGAATTTATATTGTTTTGGATTCTTTTCTCATTCTGCAGTGACTCATTTGCATCAGCTTTGTAAACCCAGTTGGGCAGGAAGACTCTTACTAGTCAGTGCCTCACTGTGGCAGTTTGTCTTGGAGAACTCCCACCAAGAGCACCAAAGCACCCTTATGGCAGCCAGAACCCACTATAAAAAAAACTCTTGAGACCTTTTATAGTCATCCCCAAACGGATCTAAGATGAACAGGACAGACTGCAGGAGAGGCTGAACCCTGAGATGGCCCAGCTGTAGACATTCTCTTTTGACAAGCATTATGTTCCCCCTCATCTCCCAGGTGGACAGCCGGAGTTCTGATGACTCAACTGGTCTGTTAGTAGCACTTGCAAATTCCCTCCTGTCACAGTTGGTGTAGATACATGATACAATAACTTGTCTGTAAAGGGCAGAACCTTCCACCACCTCCACCACCACTTAATCTTGGTTATTGAGGTGGGGCAGATTGGCAGGAAAGTCCTCCCCTTCGCCACCGGACCCTGAGAGTTTGCAACAAGCAGGGAACCATTCTAGCAGCTGTCCTTGAACTTACTGCCCAGTACTCACACTGCAACCACCTTCCCAGTTTTTCCTTATTAGTAGGTACTCTAGTTTCCTTAGATTGCCATAACAAAATTCCACAAACCTGGTGGCTTAAATCAGAAATGTAACTGTTTCATTATTCTTAAGGCTAGAAGTCCTAAGTCATGGTGTGGCAGGGCCATGCTCCTTCAAAAGCCACAAGGGGAGGATCCTTTCTTACCTCTTCTAACTTCTTTCTTGTAGCCCTATGCTCCAGTTTCTGCTTCCATCTTCCCATTGCCATCTTCCCTCTGTTGTTCCTACAGCTTTCTCCTCTGTGTTTCCAAATGTCCCTCTCCTTATAAAGACATAGTTGTATTAGAGGAGGCCCACTTTAATGACCTTATATATCTGCAAAGACTTACCTCCAAATAAAGTCACATTCACGGGTATCAGGGGTCAGGACTTCAACATACTTCTGGGGGGACACAGTTTAACTCTTAATAGTATAAAGTGGAGGGCCATGTATTGCCCAGTTGACCATACAGTTTGGTCAGCAAGCTTGCTGCCAGCTGCAGTGGACTTCCACAGATCCCATTACTTGCTCTGTGACTCCTTATCCTTCCTCTTCCAGAAAGCCACCTCTTTTTCAGCATCCTGTACTTGTTGCCCAAACCCGGCAAACTGTGAAATAGCTGAGATTTAACCCTATTTGCAAGCTAACAAGCTATACTGCCACAGTTTCATGGATGCTAATAGAAAATATGGGGCTATTAGGTCAGAAAGAAAAGACTTGGTTTTCTCACAGAAAGCAGCATGAGCTTTATATTTATGCTAGTTTTCCCTTTTCTCCCAAGTCCCATAGGGGTGACTTAGAGTGGCCCAGGTAAATGCTGCACATGTAGCTGGTTTACATCAAAGATGAAGAATCTTCAGCTTAGGAAACCCAAATCTCTCATAATGGGCTGCATGCCAACCAGCCTCATTTTTGTCCCAGAGAGGGACATTATTATAATGGACAATAAGCAACCTGCCCTCTGCTCCACATGGAGCCATACTCTCTCTTCCCAAGTTGATGGCTTTACTGCAGGCATCCTTGAAAAGACAGTCTGAAACAAAAGCTGTCAGTTTGCAAGATGTGTAGAAACATGAGATGTGGAGAATTCTCTCCAATAGTTGTCTTCTCTTACTGAATTTATTGAACTGTGAAAATCTTTTTATTTATATTCTCTACATAAGACCTTTGACAGATACATGTTTGCAGATATTTTCTCTCAGTCTGTAGCCTGCCTTCTAGACAGTTTTTATTGTCACTTACCTATTCTGGTAAAGCATGTGAGTAAAATATGGTTAATAACAATTTTGCTTAGTTTCTGGTTGGTCAATACCAGATACACTGAGCAATGGTTTCTGTATTATATATTTCAGAGAGCAAAAGTTTTTGATTTTGATGAAATCCGTTTAATCAATTTTTGCTTTTAAGGTTTCTACTTCTTATATGTTATATAAGAAATCTTTCATATTAGTTACAAAGGTTTTCTTCTGAAAGTTTAATAGTTTTAGTTCTTACATCTAAGTCTGTGATCTATTTTTGAATTAATCATTGTGTATATTTTATAAGAGTAAGATTGAGGTTTCTTTTTCCCATGTAGATACCACTTCTAGTACTGCTGGCAAAAGATTATTTTCTTCATTAAGTAACCTTGGAACCTATTTCAGAAATCAATTGACTGTATGAGTGTGGGTCTATTTCTGGACTTCATTAATCTTCATGTCTCCTTTCTCCAGTATCACATTGTCTTAATTTCAGTTTTATAGCTGTATAGTAAGTGTTGAAATCAGATAGTAAAAGCCCTCTAATCTTGTTTCCTCCTTTCCATATAAATTTTTTTTTGGTATCATTAATCTACAATTACATGAGGAACATTATGTTTACTAGACTTCCCCCATCACCAAGCACCCCCCACAAACCCCATTATAGTCACTGTCCATCAGCATAGTAAGATGCTGTAGAATCACTACTTCTCTTCTCTGTGTTGCACAGCCCTCCCCGTGCCCCCCCCCCCCCATTATACATGCTAATCATAGTGCCCCCTTTCTTTTTTCCCCCCCTTATCTCTCCCTTCTCACCCATCCTCCCCAGTCCCTTTCCCTTTGGTAACTGTTAGTCCATTCTTGGGTTCTGTGAGTCTGCTGCTGTTTTGTTCCTTCAGTTTTTTCTTTGTTCTTATACTCCACAAATGAGTGAAATCATTTGGTACTTGTCTTTCCATAAAAATTTTATTAGCTTATCAATTTCTTCCAAAAAGCCTTCTAAGATTTTGATTAATCTTATAGACTTTTTAATTTATACATTATGTATTTCAGGAACAAAGAAAACTCAGCTCCACTAGAGGAAAATGCTACAGGAAAAAGTGAGGCCAAAAAAAGGAAGATTGCAGAGACTTCAAATGTTATCACTGAGTCATTGCCATCTGCAGAATCAGAACCTGTTGAAATTGAGGTAGAAATTGCTGAAGGCACAATTGAAGTGGAAGATGAAGGCATCGAAACGTTAGAGGAAGTGGCTTCTGCCAAGCAGTCCATAAAGTACATTCAGAGTACAGGTTCCTCTGATGATTCCGCCCTGGCATTGTTGGCGGATATTACCAGCAAGTACCGGCAAGGGGATAGGAAAGGGCAGATTAAAGAAGATGGCTGTGCATCTGACCCCACAAGCAAACAGGTAGAAGGTATTGAAATTGTGGAACTTCAGCTGTCACATGTGAAGGACTTGTTCCATTGTGAGAAATGTAACCGTTCATTTAAATTGTTTTACCATTTTAAGGAACACATGAAATCACACTCCACTGAGAGTTTCAAATGTGAAATATGCAATAAAAGGTATCTTCGGGAGAGCGCATGGAAACAGCACCTCAATTGTTACCACCTTGAAGAAGGTGGAGTCAGTAAGAAGCAAAGAACTGGGAAAAAAATTCACATATGTCAGTACTGTGAGAAACAATTTGACCACTTTGGACATTTTAAAGAGCATCTTCGAAAGCATACAGGTAATTAGCAAATAATTTATGTTAAAAGTATGTTTTTCCACATTCACTTCAGTCTTGCGTCTAAATTACTTTTTTTTTAGTAACACAGAAGCCCTCTCCTGTATTTTCTAATATGCAGGCTGAGTTCACATTGTCTCTATAATACTTGTTTGTTGAAATAGTGATGCTTTAAAAGCAAAATCAGTATCAACTTTGAAATTAATGTCACACTTCACCAATTTTTATATTTTTAAAGGAAATATGTAAAACATGGTTTGTGATTATTTACTAAAGGTTATAAATTATGAAGTCCTAATTGTAGTGAAACTTCATTGTTACTGTCTACATTCCTATCTCTTGTTAATACATTACATAGATGAGTACATTTACAGATAGGCTCTGACATGTTTATACCTTCATGTACATTTGGTCATGTTTTGACCTAGTAGCTAGGTAGGCAATATATGTCCCATCTCCACCACCTCCCATGGGCAAGCATATCAGGACTGGTGGACAGCCAGGGAGATGAGAAGGGTAAAGTATAAGGAGAGTAAAGTCCTCCTGGGAGTCAGCCCAGGCATGAGAGAGGTGTCCCCAGGAGTCTACCATTGGGGTGCACTTTTAGTTCTGCATCCATTCCCTAGTGCCTATTTTTTTCCCTGTCAGATTCCCTGTCCTTGCTCGCACCTCCCAGGCTTTCTTTGCTAGGTCTCCTGTGCCACACCCAGGAGCTGTCACCTCTGATTTGAAATTGGCAAGTTCCTAAGCGCATTGTAACAAGGGCATAGGGAGAGCAGTTGCTGTGGTATGCTAAGCACAGACTTTTGAACACTTGTTCCCAAGTCCTTATATGTGGTGGGAAAGACTGTTTAGACTGTCAATACATAGGTACCCCACAGTTTTCAGTGTCTCTTTGCTGGAATTTGGAGAACTTGGATGAAATTTTACCAATCCCTTGCTGTCCAAAGCCTCTTGCTACACACTACTTGAAATTAGGAACCAAATAACATCAGATAGTGTGGTGTCCCCCACTGTCTAAATGCTTGGTGCCAGTATACAGGAACTGAGTAAATGCTTGGTTCCAGTATTCAGTGGTTGCATGATAACAAAAGAATTTCATACTTAAGGTGCAGTGTGTATTTAAAAGGCTATAAGGTATTAGTTTGGGTAACTAATAGGCATTGATAAAAATGCTTTTGGGAAAATGCTTTCTGATTTTCAAACATTAGATGTATATACCTGTTCTACATTTGGAAACTGCCTGTAGTTACAGTCTTTGGTCCTTAAAAAACAAATATTCATCTATTTTAATGGTCTGTTGGTGATCAATTTGTGGTAACTGTGGATTAGTTTTACAAAAGGATTGATAGACCAGCCTCACATAAGTTAGTATTTCATTATTACTTGGGTATACAGGAGCATACTTTGATAGGATTTCCAGTACCCCAACAGATAGTAAGTCACTGTTACTTCCTAGCATTGTAAAAGTAGCATTTGTCTCTTTTACCCAAACCATTACCTAGTAACTTACCTATTTAAAAATAGGACAATACAGACCACATTCAAAGTTGTAAAAGTACAATTTAAAAATTTCCAAGTCCTATAATTTGTATTTTGGATTGAACAGCAGAATATAGAGCTAAAGTACATTTATGTTGCAAGTCTTTCTTTCCCTTTAGAAAGTTGTGAGATGACTTAATTAAGCAGTTTTTACAAAGTATAGAACCAGATTCCCATTGGAGGTATAGTTTAGCACATAAAACAAACTAGGCTTCTGTTGTCTTTTCTAACCTCAATTATTATACTAGTAATGAGTGCGTGACAAGATAGCTGCAAATGTGATCAATGACTTAGTGAACTGAAGAGGAGCATAAATGAACATTTTTAAATTGTGTTCATGCTAATAAAGGATGGTTTTTTTTTCTTATCACAAACTGAGTGTAAAGATAAGCAAACAGTCCTTTTCCTGTTCCTACCCTCAAAATACATAAGCCCACTTCAATTTCACAGTTTGGGTGCTTTTATTAACGTAGTGGTTTGGTTTCTTGTATGTTCTCAAAGCATGTACTATAGTCTAGGGTTGATTTGCAAAATTTTGACTGTTACTTGTCCTCTGAATAATTTTATTTCCATTTGGAAAATAGTAATGATAATGCCAACCTGCTAGGTCATGGACATAAAGAAATTTTAGAGTCCCAGCCTCCAAGTGCTCACAGTTATGTTGGGAGAGACAGGTAGGCACAGTCACAGTGTAACAAGCTAAGGGCTGATAGAGGTGAGCACAGAGTCTCATGGGAGTACCTGCCTGGGCTGTTTGTTTATGATGTAGGAAATGAGAATGGCTACCTAGAGGGTTTCCCTGTGATAACTCTCAAAGGGAAAGGAGTTAGCTAGGAGATGGGCATTCCAGGCAAAGAGATGAAGCATACACAGATATAGGGGAAAGAGAGGAAGCAACTTGTTTGGGCACTGCTAGTAGGTTATCATGGCTGGGAAGATTGGGTCCCGGGTAGAGAGGTATGCCAGGAGGTGTAGCTGAAGGTTAAGAAGCACTGATTATGTGGTCATGCATTTAGGCATCCTGGGAGTCTGCCAATGGTTCAAGAGAGAAAAAGTGACCAGAAGTGAGACTAAGATCATATACTTACTTTTATAAATGTTATAAATGAGTTCAGATTTTATATTGGAAGACTGGGTCATTTTAAAGAAGCTTAGGCCAGGAAGAGCTCTGATCAGATTTGTTTTAGATGACTGGCTGGATAGATTAGATTGGGGTAAAATCTATTTGGGTCTAATTAAGAAGCTGTTCTAGTAATTAAACAAGAATGAGGGATTGAGTAAAGGCAGTGATACTGGAAAAGAGTTGGAGATGTGAGCAATTATATAGGCAGAATCAATAGGATTTGGTGATCGGTGAGATGTGGGGGTAAAAGGGTGACTCCCAGCTTTCTGATTTTGGGTGGCTAAATAGATTAGAGGTTGTTGACTTAGAAAGAAAAATTTAAAAGGGTAAGCACTTTGGGGTGGGAGGAGATACCAGACATACTGACAGACTGTGGGACATAAGTGTAAAAGCCTAATGGTGACCTTTAACCATGTTTTCAAATAATTGGTTCCAGAGAGGTAGTATGGAATCATAGAATGTCTGGGTCCAGAAATCAAAATTAGATTCTGGCTCTAGTTCTGACATTTGCCAGCATGATGAACTTTACTTGTCACGTTATCTTCGGGCCTCTTTCCCTGTCTGTGTAAATAACCTACTTTACAGGATTGTGAAAAATAAGAGAGAACAATTAAAGCATTTTGAAGAATATACTGTCCACACACCTAAAGTATAATCTGATGCTATTTCTAGATTTTATTGGGCTTATTAAGCTAATTTTTCAAATAGCAAAAGTTCAAATGCTATAAAAATTCAAATGACATACAATGAAAAATGAATCTCTCCTTCAGTAGATCTCTTCAGAAGCAACTATTGCTGTCATTTTCTTATCCTTTCTGGATATATTTTTTGCATTTCCAAGGAACCACAGATAGACATATACACAGCTTTTGAAAAAAGAACCCAGAAGCATGCAGTACATAAGCCGTATAGCTTATCTTGAACTATTTTAATATATGAAATAATCTTTTTCATTGTAGCTGCATCTCAGTGTATGGGTATGCCATAATTTACTCAGCCGGTTGATACAGATTTAGGTTGTTGCAAGTTTTTTGCTATCATAAATCATGCTGCAGCAAACACACTTGTACATACATACATCTTTGTGCAAATGTTCAAGTAATTTAATTTTTTAAGAGCAGAATTTCCAAGACAAGGAATATATGCATTTTAAATCTTGGCAAGTTATTGTCAAATTGCCCTTTAAAGAGGCTATGCCAATTTATATTTGTAGGTTTCAATTATTGTGAAAAATTATACACTACTAAAACCATGAAACTTAACAATTTTATTTAGGAACAGTTCCCAATATTTGGGGAGTTATAAGGAATTTCTGTGCCAACACTAGGTTAGGTCCTCTCTGTCAAATTAATGTTTTCATTTCATGAAAATTTTACAAAAACATAAGCTATAGTTTTGTCAGGAAAAAACATAGTTCAGAGTTACTTGACTGTATCTGTTCCACTTCAGTAGGAAAGTCACTACTGGGACCTCATTGTCATTGGCCTTGCTCTCTACAAGTGTCATCTGTCTCTTTAATTCTCACTCCTCTCCCTACTCTATTGGGCTCTACCTCAGTTAGCCTTCCAGTCCTTTCATATCCCTGTCCAACTCATTTATTGCCCCATTTTGGCACTGTTGACTACCCTCATCTTCCTGAAGTTTCTTAAATTCCTTGTGTGTTCTTTCCTTCTACTTCTGGCTATTCTGTTTCCATTTCCTTTGCTGTCTCAGCTACCTGCTGTTTTTAACTTGATGTTTCATTAGGTTCTATCCTTGATTCTGTTAATTACATAGCATACTCACACCAGCGGTTATTACCACTTAAAGTAACTCCTAATCCTATGTATCAGTCCACCCTTTATTTTGCTCCACATTTGTCTATATAACTGTCCTCTAGACTTTTCCACTTTGCTCCTGAGTACCTTGAAATCAGCAGATACAAAGCTGATTTTATAATCTTTCCCAGCTCACCACACTTCAGACTTACTTGGCCTTGTGTTCTCTGTTCTGTTTGGTACTCTAAGCCAGCCGTGTAGGAGTCTTCCTCTCATTCCTCACCTACCTTACTGTTTTCTATTTCTGTGACTCTGCCTAGAATAAACTTCCTTCTTTCATTTTCCTTCTATTCCATTCTAGACAGAATTAATCACTCTCTTCTTTTGTGCTGCTGCAGGACATTTTCTGTAATAGATCTTCTGCAGTGTGTCAGATTTGTTTATTTTCATTTATTTTCCCTTCATGAAGTACCATGGCCTGTGATACGAAGTTTTTAAAAACAAGAACAGTCTATCTTTTTTTTTTTTGAGAGGGCATCTCTCATATTTATTGATCATATGGTTGTTAACAACAATAAAATCTGTATAGGGGACTTAATGCACAATCATTAATCAACCGCAAGCCTAATTCTCAACAGTTTCCAGTCTTATGAAGCATAACGAACAAGTTCTTACATGGTGAACAAGTTCTTACATTATGAATAAGTTCTTACATGGTGAACAGTGCAAGGGCTGTCATATCACAGAAGCTTTCAGTTTTGATCATGCATCATGAACTATA